GGGCTCCATTCCCTTCCCCTTCCCTGCTCCACTCAGGGCCTTCCCTGAAAACACACTTTTAAGGTGTCACAAGACATTGAAATTGTTTCTTCTCAGAATAAGGCTGGACACTCCAGCAGCACCACGGCGACCCTACGTTAGGCAGCACACGACTAGTGACATCTTTTCCTATATTCAATCCATCCTTCTGGAACCAGCTAGGAAGGAAACAGAAGCCAGTACTTCTGACCTCAGCGAGCTTGTCTGTTTGGACGGGAGCAGCTACACAACACACAGAAAAAGGCTCACATCCCAGCAGTTCCCGGTGCATGCTGACACACGTAACAGATAAAAAGTTAGCACAGTACGAAAAACAGAAAAACAGAAATGTCTGCAGCTCTTTCATTTCTACTATTCTTCTCCTTATTTAGAAAAATAAAGTCCACTGAATGTTCTTTGGTCTGAAAACTACCAGAAATAGAAAGGAAATGTTTGATAAAATGAAGACTTCTCAATAGGTATTCCGGGAACAAGGACTTGTGTGCTGAGAGGCTGCCCGAGTAACAAGAAATCCTTTAGCCCTGATACTGGGGTTGTGAGGCCTGGAGCTGTCAAGAGAAGCTGACAGCAGCTGACTGCCTGCCAGACCCTGCCCGAAGCACTGTACACACTGGTGACACTTATCAGCAACAGATCAGAGTCAGTGGGCCTGGGTGGGAACTGCCCCAGTGCCTGCTTGCTGTGTGGACTTGGGAAAGTCCCCCAGCTTTTCTGAGCCTCAGTTTCCTCTTTATCTGTAAAATGGAGATAACCACACTACCTCTTCAGGTTATGACAAGGGTTAGGGAAGACTTCTACAGAAAACACTTAATAGGGCTGACACAGCAGGGGTCGGAAATGTTACCTACTGTGACTACCAACACAGCGTCTTCTCTAAAAGCTACGGACCCAGCAGTGTTTTAAAAGCACCTGGGGAAGGCAAGCACGCTGAGGCACCCACCAGGAGAAAGCGCACTGGGGCAATTTCAGAGAGAGGTGGAGATTCCCAGCCCACATCCAAAGCACACTCCTTATTTCTCTTCCCCCTAGGAAAATCAC